CCCCACCTGTACACGGATATCTTGACCGTCGAATTTCCCACTGCCGCAGAAGGCACGAAAGCGCGAGATGAACGTCACCGTCCGAGTTCAGCCAAGACGGAAGATCCTCCAAGGCTTGCTGCTGCCTGCCTGCAACAAGAGGACTGAAGTCCTCCTCAAGACCTCCTCCTTGCAGGCCCTCTTCCACCTCCCACAGACAAAAGCTGCCGCCTCCCTGGTACCCCTCCCGTGATCTCCCTCCCTCCATTCCTCCATCACTCACTTACTCACTCTCGTTCTCCCTCCCTTCCTCCATCACTCACTCACTCACTCACTCACTCACTCACTCACTCTCGTTCTCCCTTCTGTGCTCTCCCTCACTCTCGCTCTTTCCTCAGGGTCTCTCCCTCACCGCCTTCAAGAGCGCATGCCGCCGCCTCGGAATCTCCCGCTGGCCTTACGAGCGCAAGCCCCGTAGCCAGCAGCAGGTCGAGGAAGGCAGCTCAGAGGCTCGAGGTGGGCAAGAGGCAGGAGAGGAGGAGGAGGAGCAGCAGCAGCAAGAGGAAGAGGAAGAGGAGGAGGAAGAGGAACCGCTAGAGGAGGAGTGGATCGAGTGGTACATGTCGTCTAGCGAAAATGACGAGTTGTGAGAGTCATCCGAAGGGAGGAGGACAGCGAAGTAAGCAGGTAGTGTTTGGAACTGTAACATAAGATGAAAGATGCATGTGAAGCATTTTGGATCTGAAGGGAGCAAGGTGGGATTTGAGGCATGGAAAGAGTTGTATAGAGGAAAGTAGCTGCTTGTATCTAATAAATCAATACAATAATCCAGCTTTATGCATAGAGCACTCGAGTAAGGTGATGATAGCTCCCCCTTTGTTTCTGACTGACCTTTTCAGTCACGACCATCAATCTATCATCTTATCTCGTGTCTGATATGGCTGAATGTACTTGTCCTGTGTTCATGATGCCGCGCGCTGAGAAAATTTGTAAGTCTACCTGTATGTCTGTAGCATCTTAGTATGACGCCCGACCAGTCCTGAAGAACTCAAGACTCTAAGGGATGATGCCGGATAACACTTGAGTATGTGTCCTTTCATGCAATGCACATGTTCAATCGGAAAGAAACACGTGCATGTCGCACTAGCGGACAGACAGCAGTCATGTCAGGACACCACTGCCACGTATCTTGTACGTACCGTTGCAACTGAGCACGTCGCTCCTGAATTCGGAGGTCTGCCTCAGAGTCAAAACGTCAGGATCCGACCGGATAAATGATGACAGAGGAAGCTGTAGTAAAAAAATATCGAGAGAGGCGTAACATGAGGGGGTTCGGAGGATATACTGTTGTGGCCATCGCATCTCCCCCCAGCAAAAACCGTCGATAGGGAACCAAAGCTGACTCTCTGCATTCTCGAGCAAGCATCATGGCAAGCAGCACGACTGTCCTGATCCATCCAAGACGGAAGATCCTTCAAGGCTCTCTCATGTACTACAAGGGCTCCAGGGGCGTCAGCCTCAAGGCCTCCTCCCTCAAAACTCTCTTCCACCTCCCACAGACAAAAGCTGCCGCCTCCCTGGTACCCCTCCCGTGATCTCCCTCCCTCCCTTCCTCCATCACTCACTCACTCACTCTCGTTCTCCCTTCTGTGCTCTCCCTCACTCTCGCTCTTTCCTCAGGGTCTCTCCCTCACCGCCTTCAAGAGCGCATGCCGCCGCCTCGGAATCTCCCGCTGGCCTTACGAGCGCAAGCCCCGTAGCCAGCAGCAGGTCGAGGAAGGCAGCTCAGAGGCTCGAGGTGGGCAAGAGGCAGGAGAGGAGGAGCAGGTTGTGGAGGAGAGAGGTGGAGGACCGCTAGAGGAGGAGTGGATCGAGTGGTACATGTCGTCCAGCGGGAACACAGAGGTATGGTCGAATGAACAACCAAGGAGCGCATTGCCACTCCTACTTGATTGGGCGACATAGGTCAAACTGATGAACTTGATTGGATTGTAACAAGAAAGTGAAAGAAAAGCTATCCTATCACTTCGACTCTCAGTACTGTAGGCCAGTTCCACCAACTTTGATAGGCTCAGTGAATTCCTTCTGCACCCAAACAAGTTCATGGCGGGAGCAAAGCATGAGATGATTTACTTCCAAATGTCAACTGCTTTGTTCGTCTCGAGTCACGGGCCTCGAATTTCTCATCTTAACTCGGTTTCCAAAGTTCGTCCAGCTTTCTGCTAGATATTCAAGTCGCCGTGATCAGTGCAGTGCTGTGCGGGCCCGCTGACGCCCGCTGACGCCCGTGAGCCGCCGGCCCGAGAGTGACTGCCGCAACTTGTCCGAGGTGACGGTGGCCGCCGGGCGCGGCCGCCCGACTCCGCCGAGGCACTCGGAGGCCCCCCGGAGTCCAGCCTGGCAGGCGGCGGCGCGCGGGACTGGCCGCGCCCGGGCCCCGGGCCGGCTGGAAGTTCATGACTGCGGCAAGACTCCGTCACGGGGGTGATCGGACCGGGTGGGCGTGGCCGCCCGGCGGGCCGGGCCGCTCGCGTCGCGGCCCCGGCCGCCGCGATGACTGTCTGGCCGTTCGCCCCCGGGCGGTACCGGCCCCCCGGGCCCTTCGAGGCTCGCCGCCGCCGCGCGCCGTGGTCGCCGGCCCCGGCGCGGCGGCGGCCCGGCACCGTCGTCCCTCACGAGTCCGAGGCTCGGCGCATCCCCCTCGGTCACGCAGCTCACCATCGAGTGCCCCCCTGGTCGCGCGCGGCGGGGTGACCCCGCCGGATCATCGCGCGGCCGGGCGGCCGCCCGGCCGCGGCCGGCCCGGAGGCGCTTCAGTTCCGGGCTCGGACGGACGGCAGTGAGGCTCTGACCACCAACTTTGAAACTTCAGAACTTTGAACGATCCTGATAAACTTTCATAGCTCACACGTAACCGCAGGGAAAAACTCTCCTGACCTTCCGGTGTACAACCCACCCCCACCTATCCCTTCAGTCACCCGTTACCGGTCTGGTGGACTACTGTACCCGGGGGTACATCACCCACCCACCCATATTCCACTGAATTGTTCTTACAAGTACCCACCCTGCGTCCTCAAGAAGTACCCACCTACCCTTCGCCCAAGATCCTCTGCTTGCATGTTGAGCTACCACCGCCCCTTTTCCATCAAGTACCCCCTTCTCTCCGTTCAAAATCGTTTTCATAGGACCCACCCTACCCCTTCTACATTTCCAATCATACCCCCAAACAAAATAAATATTGGTAATGTAATGTTTATCTTTCAATATTTATATGGACAATTGAAATATCTACCGAATAATCATCAGGCGGTTTCAACCTGGGGGGATCTATGGCAGGGTAGGGTGCTGGTGTGATGGATTGTACGGGTGCTCACCAAGTCGGGCAGATATCGGAGGGGTCAGGTAATACGGATACCGGTATCAGGGACTATTGTCTACCGGTACTTTTGAAGGAAAGACATGGGGTATCAGCAGGAAAGTAGGGGTAGGGTGTATTCATCTTGAGGGGTGAGCATACTTAAACGTGGTGGTGGGTGATCTTCTCAGGGAGGGTGGGTAAAAGGATAGCTCGGGGGTGGTACCTAGTTCGTAGTTTCCAGGGGTAACGGCGTGAAGGTGGTAGGGGAGTGGGTCTCTGACATAGGAGGGGTTAATTTGAGCAAGTTAAGGTGGGTGGATCACCAAGGGGGTGATACAAAAAAGACAAATTGTTAGGGTGGGGTACTTAACTTAGCTGGGTGGTAGAGACGTCTCTAGTTCGTAGGGGTGGGGTAATGGAATTCGAAGGGTGGGTGGTTAAGATGTGAAATGCGAAAGAGAGCGTAGGGAGGAGAGGAAAGGAGGGAGGGAGGAAGAAGCAGAGGAAGCGAACGAGTGGATGAAAGAGATTGATACCGAGGATAAAAGACGATTGAGAAGCTGCTATGTGCAATGCAAGACATGCTGATCAATGGTAGGCGTGAGGTCACATTTCCAGATTTGTCGAAGCACACGTGCTGAGGAACGGCACATTGCCGGTTAGCAGATAGCAGCAGTCACTGAGGAAGGAAACACACTGGATTATCTTTGAACATGTTGATAGATAGGGAATTCCCCATGTTCCGAGTATGAGAGAAAGAGAGAACTAGGGAAATCATGGTTTGTTGCTGGTTAGTGGAATTCTTGTGTAAATGAAACTACATAGATTCAAGCTATAGCAGGGATGAAAAACTCCTTTTTGTAGCAAGATTGTTCATGAGCAAATTATTTCTCAGCCTCATTTCGCATTTGGCTTCTTCAATCATAAAATACCCTACTGACGTGTTTGTCAGATTCAAAACCTGGGTTGGATGGAGTTTTTTGTGGGATGGGAAGCGAGAACGAGGGGAATTGCCTAGTGTAATCAAGCTGAAGGGAAAGATCAGGTAACATCAGCAAGAAATCCCTGTAAGGTTGTCTCTTGTCGTTGAGAGCTGGGTGATATCCCTTTGGAACTCGGTCGTTGAACAACGTCCTCTTCAAGGGTCCCTTCTTGTTGGTGCAACTGAGGCTGATAGCTCTCTTGCGAGAAAGCAATACGTCCTCTCCTAATCACAAACCTCGGCCCCCGCGCCGCCCCCGCGATCCTGCCGAGGATGCGGCTGACCCTAAGGCAAAGAGCAGGCGCGGGATGCCGTACGGGGAGGGTCCACCATTCAATCCTCATATGATGCCGCCGATGATGCCTGGAGTTGTCCCGTTCGCGTTCCCTCCGAGCATGCAAATGCAGCAGATGATGGACGGGGTGCAACAGGTTTCATGGCTGATTGGCTCGTGGAGTGGTACGGGCAAGGCGAGCTTTCCTACAATGCCCGAAGAGATCCAGTACTACGAGGAGGCGACTTTCACCCCTGTGTACGGGCGACCAGCTATCATCTATCAGCAGGTAGTTATGGCCTGTCTTCTTGTTTGCCCTTGGACTGTCTTAGCACATCTGACTGCGTGTTGTCTGTTTTGGTTACCTCCCTGTGGGCAAACAGAGAACCTGGCGAAGTAGTGATCATATGCCTCTACATCTCGAGACGGGGTTTCTTCGTTTTGGAGCCTTGGCGGGAGGACCAGGCCGAGCGCAGATGGTTGTTTCTCAGGTTTCATCCCACAACAGCCCATGATGAATCTGAGAATGGAATGTTTGTCCAGGTCACGGGGCTGAACTTTGTGTCAGAAGGCGAGATAGGAGAATTCGGGATTGAATTTCATGTGAATCTTTGTTCAACGTCGGTTTTTCCAAGTCTTGATTGTTTGAACATAGTCAACGGGATTTTGTTATGTCGCTACTATGGATGGACCAAGTGTATCCATGATAAAGCGAAGGTTTTATCCGAGGGGAGATGGGACTATGGGGTACACTATTCATTGCTCTACAGGTATGCTAGTTACAGTATCTCTGACCATTTTGATGAACTTGTCTTGTTGCAGGCTCAGAGTCAGAGTTGGTGCGTTGCCAAGAAGCGACTCTTGTTCCAGTCTCAAGTATTCCCATGCCCGTATGTATTGAAAGTAGCCAAACGCAGAAGATTGAAATGTCTGCCAGGGTATCGGAAATTTCCCCCCTTCCATGGGAAGTTTTCCCCCAGGCATGGGATCTTATTCGCAGGCGATGGGAGTTCCTCCGCCCTCTCCTGCCATGGTTCCAGATTATTCTCAAGTTCAGCCGGTCATGCAACATGATGCGGCGACTGCAAATGGGGTCAAGGTAAAGCCACCATGTTCCTTGCGTACGATGAGAAGGTGGACGATTGATTATTGATTCCCCTAGTCACGAAACGTCCCAACACCACCGAGGAAGGACTGGGGACGGATTATTTCTCATCCAAGTGGAAAATTTGTTGTGGAAGTGCACAGGTCATACTGCGCACCGAAGTCTGTGATTGCTTCACTGACAAAGATCTCTAGAGACAAATTTGATGGGGATGCTATTTGTATTCAATGTCGGGAGATGGACAATCCATGGAATAGATCAGGGTGGATTCCTTGCACTTTTGTCGATTCGCAGCAGGTGAAGGAGCCGTGATGCCAGTCAGTTTTAGCTCGTGACAGCATCTTTCAGGTAAAGCATAAGGTCATACAAGTAAGTTTCGAAGACAAAATCATTGGGAAAGTTTATGAGATTCGAGCGAAGGCAATGCTTACACGATGCCTCAAACTGAATCCTGACCGTTGGCGGTCGACTTGCAGGTCATGGGAGGTCAACCGACCACCATGAAGCAGGTATACTGTGCTTGACTAGAGTATTGACTTTTGACCTCCTCTTCTTCCTGCCAGGGTGGAACTCTGATTGTCAAAGCTGGCGATGAGACCGTGACGGAAGGGACCATCACTGAGGAGGTAAACTCGACGTGACCGCTTCCTCCTTGTGTTCTGCCTCTATATGTCGCCGGGTTGTTGAGTGACTTTGTGCTGTAGGATGATGCCGCGAAGAGCATACAGGAAATCCCCCCGCACAATTAAATAGAGGGAGTGTCAAATGGCCCTGATTTGCCGCACTCTCCTTAAATGAATTTGAATTCAAACTACTTGTAAGTTTTCTGTTTCCAGCCTCCATCCCTTTTGGTACGGGCACGTCTCCGGCAGCTCCCCACCTGGAGCGGTTGAGAGGTGTTGCTTGAGGGCAGATGCTTCACCTTGATAGTCCTGAGGAAGCCAAACGGGACGGGAAACTCGGCAAGATCGCATGACAAGCTCACACTGAAGAATGAGACGTCAGTGAGGGAGGAAGAGCGGGAGGAGGACTGCAGGATGTCGGGAGATTGGGAAGGAGAAGGTAGGGGAAGGATGGAAATGAGAAGGCATGAGGCATGCAGGGAAGCAGAGGGCAGAAGAGGAGAAGGCATGAGGCATGCAGGGAAGCAGAGGGCAGAAGAGGAGAAGACAGCAGCAGCGGTGATGATAGATGAAGATGAAAAGCTGAAGGCGTGAGAGCGGAAGCAGAAGTGAAAGAGAAGTTCCTGTTGGTTGCTGGTTGAAAGCTCGTCGTGGGAACCGCACTCGCACTCCTTCCCTGGGAAGAAGATAGAAGCTCCTTCCTCGCCGTGCGGGGTGAGAGAGGATTCAGTGACGTCAACGTGCGCAAAGTTGTTGAGCCACAGAGCCACACCACACTTTTCCAAGCGACATCTGACGTGCTGTCACATGGCACAGATTGAGGCCGACAAGGAGGGAGGGAGGGGGGAAGAGGGGGGAAGAGGGGGGAGGAGGAGACCTCATGATGCTTCCTTGCGTATGATGAAGAAATCGACATGCGGCGAACAGGACGTGGCTCACATTACTCTCAGTTACATTGATCCTGTCACGATCTCTTTAGCAGGGGAGCATGAAGAGAGAGATGAACAGAGCGGCAGTCGCCCCAAGCGAGGAAAGCAGGGAGGAAGGAAGCTTGTTCAAGAGAGGATGAGTAGAGGTAGCAGCAAAGGAAGGAGGAGGAGAAGGAGGAGGAGGAGAAGGAGGAGAAGGAGGAGGAGGAGGAGGAGGAGGAGGAGGAGGAGGAGGAGGAGGAGACAGACCGGCTTTTCTCGAAAGCTTGGATCGCATTCGAGCACATGCCTGCTCCTAGATCTCCAGCCCTTTCTGAAGTCCCCGAGCCTCCGATGGAGCTGCGGATCACTGAAACTTCAGCCTGTTGACAACCCTGAGCTTCACGCATCCCCCATGTCAGGAACCTCAAGCTCTGCCATAATGACGGTCCCGTTCTCACTCTGCAAGGAGCAGCTCTCGAACTTCCATCCTTTACCCTGGATGCAGAACGATGGGGAGTCCAAATCGTCCTCCTCCTCCCGCAGACTCTTCAAGCCCAGCATCACTCCGCTGCTGTTCTCCTCCATGTACCAGTGGTGATCGAGCTCCTGGAGCAGCATCAGGAGCAGACCGCACAGGTCGCATGCAGGCATGGAGACCCTGTCAGAGGTGAAGTAGAGGGAGGAGCCTTTGGGGACGACCATCTGCTCCTTGCAGCTGTCTGGCCACAGTCCACATCCTTGCACCTCCGAGGCGTGAAGGAAGAGGGTGCGGTTGGTGTGGAGGAGCAGTCCTGCAGAGAGCATGAGCGTTCAGCCCCCCAGCTGTCATCGAGCAGGAAAAAACCTAAGGCCAGAGACAAGCTGGGAAAGTCTTGGGGGATCAGCTTGGGGCGTTGCAGGCTCGTGCTCAGGTTTAAGTCCATCCTCCCCCACAGAGTGCAGTTGCTCCTCGCCATGGTCTTCCACATCATGACGCGCTCCGAGGCGCTCAGAGTCTCATGGTCGAGTCGCAGAGGAAGGTCGTTGAGCGACTGGATGCAAGCCTCCTCCGCCACCTTGGACAGCGCATGTCCTGAGCTTGAGGTGTCTCGTTGTACCTCTTGAAGAAACTCATTGAGAGTCAGGTTGTCTTGTTCAAGGCTCTCTCTCAAGTTCTGCAACGGGGCTGCAGAGAGTCTTAGAGGAGTTCGGGTGCTGGGCAAGGCACCTGAGCTGTTTTCTTTCTTCTCCAGCAGTCTCCTTGCTGCAGTGACGAAGTCTTTTGCGCCAGGAACCTCGCTCAAGTTTCCAAGCATTGAAAAGGTCTCATTGCAGACTTCGTCAAAGTCCTGCCCAACAGTTATCGACGGAGACTCTCTCACTCGATGTCTGACCTTGAGGCCAAGGACCTTGGGGAACTCGTCACCTTCACATGTGCAGTGAGTACCTGAAGACAAACAAACTCTCGCACTCCCTCACCGTCTCTCACCCTGAAACCAAACTCAGCGAGAATCTCCTCCAAGTCCTCATCTCTGTAGTCATCGACCGCTGCACCCTGTCACAAAATCAGGCGCCTCTATGAAGAGGAGGCGGCACAAACACTTCACAGCTCATCACCTGAGAGCCAAGAATGCCACCGGAGAGGAAGCTTGTGAGGTCCGTTGGGATTTCTGCTGCGCTCATCGGAGGCTCGTGCTGTGTTTCTGACTGTTCCCCTTCATGGTCCCAGGACTTCCACAGCGTCTGATTCAGCTCGCTGCGCCGCGAATGTCAGTAGAAGGACGCAGAACTTCATCGAAGACAAGGTCTGAGGGCAGACAAACAACGGAAAAGACATGAGACACAAAAACATTTCTAGATGATCGGCCAAAGATTAAAGTCATCACCGATTAGTCACAGACACAGCCATCAAGGAGTCATCATCAGGTTCCCTCAGGACAAGTCGGGCAAGCCCTGTCTTACCTCATCTGATCTATGTAGAACTCTTCGAGAGGAGTGAAATTCGGGAGTTGAGGAGGAGTCCAACTGGTCTGTCCAGTCAGTCGGTTCACCCAGTACTCTTTGTTCTGTGATCTGGAGTATCGAACAACCCAATCCGTCTGTTTTAACAAGTGAGATCATTCATGATGCAGGCCAGTGCTGCAGCCGTACCTCTTTGATCTTGTTCAGACCAATTGAACTCGGGATGGTTTGCAAGGTTGCTGCCATGTCTCGCTCGAAAAACTGCCTGATTTTCTCGCGCCTGGTTGTCGGCGCAGGGGGGTTGAAGCCATCAACAAAATCCTCACTCAGCAGCTGCTGTACACTCCGAAACCATTGCATCTTGTACATGATTTCGTCTCGGGCCCCGTCATCGACCTGCTCTGATATCAGACTCTCGTTCAGTCTCTGTATCTTCGCGTCAAAGAAGGATTTGAGTGTCACGCTTCCATTTTGACCCATAGGAGCATCCCTCGAAGACATCATTGAAACCAGCGAGTCCGACAGTCTCTTTGCCAGCTCTCTCGTCCTGTTCTCCCACTTGTTCGTCTCGGCACCATCGGCCGGTCTTGGCGATTCTGAGGAGACTTCCTGCTTGAGTCGCTTCCTTGAAACTTCTTCTCCAACTTGTGGGCGCGGGGCAGGGGACGCCATGGCAGGCCGTGGCATCGGAGGAGCCGACACCGCTGGCTGTTGCCAGGTGGTGATTCCAGTCCTGACGTTGACCTGTCGATGCTGGTCAGGCGCAGCGACGGAAGTCTCAAGACTCACCCAGTATGGCTTCTTGAGTGACCGCGACATGTACATTTTCCATTCGGAACTCTTCACAAGACAAAGTCAACATCGTTCCTTGCCTGTGTTACTACCATACACCTGAGTGTTGTCTGCTCCTCCTCTCAGCATCAATCTTGACGACCGACCATGCCCCATTCCTCTCAACATGAGAATCCCCTCAGAGCACACGCCATCGGATCTTGGCATCGTCGCTTGTTGCAAACGTGCATGACAAGGCAGGATCTGCGAAACCCAGTCCTCGAATTCTGCCTCCACTCCTTCCTTACATGCCCCTCGAAGCATCAACACAAGAAACAGCTTCAGCATAAGGCCCGTCTTCTTCATTTGCTGATCGATGCTCTTCAATGATACCTGTTAGGATCAAGAACACGAGTCTTTGACTGAGTACACATGAATGTATCCTTCAGCCGTCCCTTGCTTCGATCAGTGGTGTCTCCTCTCATCGCGCCCTTGCCTTCCACATCCTGTCTTCTTCTCTCCTTCGTCTCCCTGACTCCCATAGCGATCCGTCCCATGCCGACAATGACTTGCAAGTTTGAAACTTTCAACTTGTGAAAGTTGCCAACTTCCCATAATTCGGACCGCTGGAGCGTGATTTTGAGGTTGGCATCACATTCTATAAGAACTTCAGAATTTAATTGGCAAATTTCAATTATGAACTGATATTTTTCACATTTTAACTCAAAACATTAAATTATTAAGCCAACTCGATCCGGCGCTCCCCGGAAATAGATCCATGGCATGAATCTAGGCGACGGCCATGGCATCGGGCGGACGAAAAGGAGATGAAGTTCGAACATTGATGCACAGAATCCGAGATGAGCATGAAACACACTTAGTCTAGGAGCTGTTGGTGTTGTGTCTTGCCACATCTGATACAGCCATCTCTCAACCCGGACTACTGTCAACCTGACATGGAGATGGAACTGGGAGATTGGGCTCGGTAGGGAGGAAGGTCGTATTGAGATTGATTGTGTTTGTTACACACAAGCGCGACAGAGAGGATGAATCTCAACAGAACCTTGATCTACTTGGCCTCTGCTGCTCTTGCCTTGTTTTTCCTGGTTCTGATGGCCCAAATGCGAAAGGGCAGCACAAAGGGGATAGACACGGCGATGGTGGACTCCTTGGAGGGATATCCTTCACTCACAAAGTTTGTGAGGCAAAGGGATCCAAGGCTCCCAATGTCTTTCAATCAGGGGATGGTGAGAGCTTGCTAGACTCGATGGTGGCGACATGTTGAGTTTTTTGCTGCAGGCTGCGCAAGCTGCCATGATCAACAACAACCCTCAGATGGCGAAGCAGCTTCTAGAGGAATACCGCAAGTCGAACCAGCCTGCGTTTGACTGGCGGCAATCAGAGGTGAGTCACTTGTCGCTTTGCTCTCTTGTCCTCCCCTGAAGTGCCACAGGCTCAAGCCCAAAGGGTGATGGCGGCCATGAAGATCCTGCAGAATGTGTTAGGAGCTTCTTCCCCCGAGTTGCTCGTCGCACTGCCGAAGGGGTTGCAAGACGTTCTTTTTCGCTCAGCTATCAGTGCGGTGGCGAGCCCGGACCCCAACCAGCAAAGACTGCAAAACGTCCTCCGTTCAGCAAGAAACCTGGGATATCTCAAGCCAGGAATGGTGCAGGGGACGACAGGCGGAACACCTCCTGAGTGGGGTTCGCAAGCGAAAGCGCGGGCTGCTGAACATCTGCAGCGGGCAAAGTTGAGGAAGCATCTGCTCCTGAAGGAGATCGATGCAACGTCGTCCGAGAACCGAACGATCACTCAAACGGATCCCAGCAGCAGTGCGCCGTCTTTCTTGGTGAACTATCACCCGAAGCTCGACAGAGCTCTTGAGAAGGATGATCGAATTGCCTTGGATTGGATGGTTATCCTGCTGCTTCTGGTACGGAAGTTGTTTTGTGAGTCTGTAGCTAACGCTGGTCTGATAGTTGTTCTTTGTCTTGGTTTCCTTGCTCTGTATCAAACACATGCTTCCAAAGATGAAGTCGAGGGCAGAATCTATCATTCATTCTGCAAGGGGGGAAAAGAGAATATCCTGGAACCACGATCCATCGAAACCTACGGATTTACAAGGGACCTCGGGAGTTCTCGATGCCGTGCTGACGGGTGGGAAGGAGTTCGTAGCGCGAGATCTAGTGGAGGGGATCGAGGAGATGGCAGGGGATGCCCTGGCCTTCACTGAGTTCTGGGATGTCGAATCGACGGATGAGAGCATGGATGTGATCATATCCTATGACCCCAGCTCTGACGGGATTTTTGGGCAAGTGTTGGCTAACGCCATCTTCGAGGAGTACACGAGACTTGACTTTGCAGCGCTGCTGCTCCCGTCGGAAGAGGACGCGCTGGAGCGGGAGGCACAGATGAGGGCCATGCAGAGTGTTGCCGGTTGTAGGATCTTCATCGCGCTAGTCAGCGATGAGTGGATGAGGAGAGATCAGAACATCAAACTGCTCGCTATGGTCATGCACTGTGTTGAGGCTCATCGTGGGAACAAGTTTTTCTTGATCATCGACCAGAAGATGAAGTTTCAGAACGAGATCCACTCGAGCAGCATCAAGCTGTCGAGCGTCAACAGCCTTGTCTGCAAAGGGTACAATCGCTCCCTGTAATCTTCTTGCTGAGACTGACGAGGCTTGCAGTTCGGAATCGGTCCAGAAGGTGGTAAGGGTGCTGCAGAAGAGAGGTTTCTTGGATCAGCACGACTCGGAGGTGTGCGATCTTGTTCACCTCCCCCTGCCCTCCCTGATCATGATGTTGACACAGCCAATCGATGCTCCCAGCGAAGAGGACTGGAACAACATGATGTCGGGGGCCATACAAGTTGAGGTGATGCAGGAGCGAGGAAGGTGCAAGGAATCTCAACTTGTGTACAGGCTCTGTTGCGATCTCAGATTGCCCGACGCAAGAGTCTGATCCAGGTTGGACCACTTCCCTCTGTCTATACGCTCTGTGATCGAAATGGCAGGCCGCCGAGGAGGCAAGACGGGTTGAAGTTGGCTCCGAGGTACCCCTTCCTCGTGCTCCTCCCCAGCAGAGTCTTGAGCTGACCGATCCCTGCAGACAACACGAGAGTCACAGGCTTCAGCCTTCATCCTGCCAACCTTCACTCGTCCTCAGATTCGATTCTCTCCGCCCAGCTGAGCCTCCAGCTGTGTTATTCTTTCTCTTGAGTATTCTTTGTACAATCAAATTGAATAAATTCAACATGTCAGGCAAGGCCTTCCACCCGCTGCCGGCAGCGTGCCAACGTTCCGGTCCCTTAGGGAGTTTTATTAAGTCAGACTGAAGTATCTTAGAACAATGGAATCATAGTAGACAAGAGTTTGCAAACCAAGTTTCGCAGGTTGAAGGAGGCAGATCGAAGAAGAAGGAGACTCAACGGCCGAGATAGCCATCACGTTCAGTCTTCCTCGGTCCTTGTTGCGAGGTTTTGCGCCTTCTTGACCTTGTACAGTCGTCAGATCATCCCTCATGAGGAGGGAAAGATACTTAGGCCTTACCGAATGAATGTCTAGCTGCTGCCAATTTGTGATCCCCTTTCCACTTCCCGTGACGCCAACCTGTTTCATCGCAATGGAGTCAGGAGTCTCGCCTAAGAGCTCGTTGTTTCTCACCTTTCCCTCCTCCGTAGTCTTAAAAATGCTCTCCTTCTTCGTTGTGCTCATGAAGCCTTTGAGCTTTGACTTGGATGATCCCTGGCGGAAATTTCGGATCAATAAATGCAGTGAGGGACAAGATTATTCTCAAGTACCGCTTTCTGAGCAAAGTTGGTCCATGATTGGGCCTTTTGGTTCTTTTCTGCTTCGCTCTACAAACTATTCAACCTCGAGCAGGATATGGGTAGCTGATTTGACCTTCTTCATACGATGCGCTGATTTCAGAGCATGAATCTTCTTGCGCTTTTGTGCTTTGACCTGTTGAAGACTTTAGCTTTCGATAAACTTACACGTCATCTAGTCTTACATCCTCTGTATCCATGGGTCTGATCTTTAATTTTTCCGGGATGACAAAATCAGCCTACACAGAAAAGTCAGCGGGCCCTACGGGCGGGATGGATATTCACCAACGCCGGATCATCAGTTGGATCATCAGTAGACTTTCTTTTCTTGTCGTTTGCCTTCCCTTTGCCCTTAGCTGAGAATTGAATTTGAAAAAAAAACAGAATACGAGAAAACAAAATGGATGTACCGTCATCGTCATCTTGATCAACCTAATTTTGAGTTTAGGATTAAGAAATATCTTAAGGAAATCACACAGTAAAAAGTTACCTGTCCAAGCAATGCTGGGTTTATGCGAATATGACGGATGTCTATGCTTTCACTATTCCCATAGTCCGTGTAAGTAACAAAGTACCTGTCTCAAAGTCAATCTGCGAATCCTGAAAACTGCAGGCGCTGATTACTTTCCGTCTGGTTGAACCTGATCGATCCTCGCTGTATACCAATATCCATCTGCTGAATAAATTCCTTCAACCATCATCCCAACCTTTTCACAATGAATTCAATTTCGACCCAAACAAAACTTCCAATCAACTAAACCTGAAGATCTGATGGCCTGCAAAACTCAGCCTGTCTGATGGAGGGAATTTGAACCTGAAGTACGGTTTCAATTCCAACGAAGAAATAATCATTACGAGATCAGAGAGGTTTCTATGTTGTGTCCCACGAATCAGCAACACCATTCATCCACTTCAACATTCATCTCCAACTCCAACAAGCCCACAAACGAGGTCCACAACCAACCTCCAATGCTTGTCCATATCCGAGAAGTGTTACTGTGACTGTGGCTGTGCCAGGCTTTGCTTCCGTGACGATCGCATTTACATACGTCTGGTATTGGGGGGCGAAGACAGATACGTACTGACCGACTGCTACCTCTTTCCCGGCTACATTTCTGTCAGGCGAGGGAAGTCAGAAGACAGAATGAGCACGGAGAGAGAATACTTTGATGTCAGTCCTTCAGTGGGCTGATTCATCCATGATGAAGAATAAGTTGTCTCGTTAGCAGTCTCACCGATCCCCAGTAGATCTTTCGTCAGTTCGATGTACTCACGGATATTGTTTCTGCAGCCGGATCAAACGCCATGGCAGGATATGGGCCGTTGCTGGTTACCTGAGAGAGATCAACTGCTCGTTCGTAGGATCATTCTACATCAAGATCGTGTCATGCGCTGATACACGTCAACAGGCAGCATGAACACCTTAATCTGAACTTCAAGAGCGGCCAAGTTCTGCTGATACGCAGCAAGCTAGCAAAAAGGAGCATCACAAGATATAGGAGCGGCTCAATCTTGAGTCAGGTCCCACCTTGTTTTGTAGCTCCTGGTGCTCCATACTGATGATATTCTACAGCAATTCACCAAGGAGGAGGCAAGTTCGATGTTCACAGAACTGAAACTCTTGGTCAGTTTCCGGATGATTAAGTCGCACAACGTATTTGCTCCTCCACCAACTAACTCCATGTCTGCTACACTGGATATCAAACATACTCAGACCTTCACCATAATGAAGATATGTTCAGATCTATGCTTGTAGCCGCGAAGGCCAACGTCTCAATCTCAACCAAAAGAAATCTTTCTGTTTTCTAACTTTGAGAAACATGAAAAATCTCCATTGCTTTGGTTGCATTGCCGTAGGATTCCTACAGTGCTAGCTCATATCATTGTTTCAACATCGATTCATGCAACAACTTTCTTCCCTCCTCCTCGCTGTCTCCCATATCTTGGCCGTAGTTGCCGCCGCTGCCATCACCGCTCGAGCCTTGCCAATACCGCTTGTCTCGAGGGTGCTCAATTTTCCAACTGTTTTTGAAATTCTGTATACGAAAAATTGAAATAGAGACTGACAATATTTTCATATCTGTCAAAAATTTGCTTGAATTGGGCCGCACTGGAAAGTTTAGGGTAGTTTTAAAAGCAGGAATGTTTTAAATGTAAAACTATTTAAATTATTTTGTACTATTACATCCTTTTATAAATTGAATGATCCAATAGTTTACTTAATAATTCAATAAAATTTATAAATATTAACGTTTCTTTGCTGATCCAGTAATGATTCCCCAATTTTAATACAACCAGTACAAAGCACTTATTAGACTCCTGGGGAAGATGGGAGACCAATGCTAGCACAAAAGAATACGGGAGAGGAGGCTAGACGTGAGGGGGAATGAGAGGAGGAGGAAGAGAGAGAAGGAGAGAGAGAGAGGAGTGACCAAGAGGAGATACGAGAAGAGAGCCAAGGAAGGAAGGTCACAGAGGGAGAGTGTGAAGATGTCAGTATCGGGTTCATGAGAAGGAATTTTTCCGAACATGAACGCACGTACTTGGCAGGCTCAATCTGTATTGACATCGGGATAAGGATGATGTGACTTTTCGTCTTCAAGGGAAGCAGACAACGTGAGCATGCCGCCTCCTCGCTCAGTCACGTGCACCATGTGCGGACAGCAGTTCTTCAAGGTGCGGACGAGAGTTTGTTCTGAGATTGCTGACAATGATCAAAGGCGTCGCTTCCTTTTCACGTAAAACAATGCCGGCTGAAGACAGATGCGGTGAGCTTGAAATCATGAGCGCTACCGACGACCCCAACAACATGAACCCTCATCGTCAATGTTCTTCCGACGCGAATTGCGCTGGTATCTCTTGACAGACGTCCCTTGCAGATCCCAATTCCATGCCCCGGCTGCGACAGAGAGGTTTTTCCTCATGTTCACCTTTCCCTTGGTTTGTGACATGTTCCTTCTACGCCAGTTTCCGCAGCGAGAGTTGCGCTCGCACATGTCACGTTGTGCGAGACTGAAAACTGCTCAATCCGTCCGTGATCAGGGTGCTTTGCCTTACCCCCTACCCCCCCCACCCCCCCACTACAGCTCTCACTGTCTCCTCCTGCTTCTGTTCCTGCTCCTTTCTCCCTCTTATTCCTATTCCCCATCATGCTGGAGCTGCGACCTTTCAAGTGATCATCCTTTCCCTCCTTTCGCTGTAGCTTTCGCTCTTGCTCGCGCTACTTATTCCTGCTCCTCCTCCCTGCTCTTCCTCCTCCTTTGCCATGTGGATTTCACTTTGTTGACTTGGTTGTCAGGGGTATCGGTCAGAAGCTCGAGGGTTCTCAAACCCCAAGATGAACTGCCACGCTGGAGAACACACGATGACGTGACTTGACAAGTTTGGAATCTTGTGATGAAAGACTGAAGGAGCTGTGCAGGTTGTCTCCGACTTTGCTGCTCAGCACCATCATCATCACGATGCTTTGCTGGGCAGCACATCTGATGGGAGAATGGCGTGCAGATTTTGCGGAAGGAATTTTGCAATCGACAGGTGATTTCTGACAATGACGGGGGGAGAGTAACAGTGCGGAAGAATCTCTGTGCACATGAAGATCTGTGAGAAGACTCAAAGAGGGCAGAGAAAGAGAGGAGTATTTAACAGTGCGAAGCAAAGAATGAAAGGTGATGCTCGTCAATACATGTTGTGACCTCTCGCTCTTCCTCTCCCTCCCTCCCTCCCTCCCTCCCTCCCTCTCCTCTCCTCTTTCTCCTCTCTCTTCTCTCTCTCTCTCCCTCCCTCCCTCTCTCCTCTCTCCTCTCTCCTCTCTCCTCTCTCCTCTCTCCTCTCTCCTCTCTCCTCTCTCCTCTCTCTCTCTCCCTCTCCTCTCTCTCTCTCTCCCTCCCTCTCTCTCTCTCTCTCTCTCTCTGATCGATTTTTAAGGTATCTGTGACACAAAATCAATAAGGACGAAATCGACCCCTACGAAAGCGAGAGAAAGGTTGAGATGAAAATGAAAATGAGGAGATTGTCGTCAAAGGGGCACGGGTTTGGGAAGTACGAGGAGGACGAAAGAGGAGGAGATATTGAAAGCAGTGGTGGTGGCGGCGATAGTGAGATTATTGTTGTTCTTGATGATGATGAAATTGTGGAGGAAGAAGACAGCAACGATAATCGTTTTGACAGTTTTCGCTCGTTGGAAGAATTTGCGTCACCCATCAAAACATCTCAGAGTTAGTCTAATGTGTTGTTCTCATGTTCTCATTTCCTTATCTCTCGATTGAAGGAACTTACACGTCTTGGCGACAAAAATGCAAGGAACTCCGCGATGGTTTGAGAGCTGCCAGGGTCAGTCTTTGTAGATCAACAACCTCGTTGACATGTTGTATTATTCAATCGTTGTTGACATGTTGCATTCCGCTACATTCTGTGCTCCAAACTCCTGAACTTGTTTCTCATCAAAGAGCTTTCAACTTTCAAGACATCAGACTCGTTCTCTCATTTCTCCATCTTCTGCAAACGTCGGCTGCCCTCACTGCCACAGGATTTTTCCTTCTGTGAGAAGTAATGACGAGTGTCTAGTCCTGACTTGTTTCCAGTCAGACGCAAGACGTCACATCTCGACGTGTTCCAGGAGCAAAAGCTCGAATCGAGATAACCTCAGGTTTGGATGATCCGAATTCTTTCGCTTTGAGTTGAAGAAGTGATGAAGTATCTGTTGATGATGCTGATGGCGATGATGATAGAGAGAAAGGAAGAGGAGGAGGAGGAGGAGGAGGTGGTGGTGGTGATAATGATGGTGGTGGTGGTGGTGATAATGATGGTGATGGTGGTGGTGGTGATAATGATGGTGATGGTGGTGGTGGTGATAATGATGGTGATGGTGGTGGTGGTGATGGTGGTCGTGGTGATGATGATGATAATGATGATTCCCTCAGGTCGAATACAACGCCTCGGCTCAAGTATGATAGTCCACGAGATCGATCTGTTTCTAATTTACAAAGACATCACACTTCATACGTGCAAACATCTGCGAGAGGTATATACATCTAAACATTGAGAAGGAGATACAACCTTACATTCTTCCCTTCTCTCCTTTCTTCTATTGTCCTGCCTTCAGCAACAATCAGGAGCCCTTTGTCTCGAGGTAGATCCTCGTTGTTGTCTTCTTCGATCCTCTTTCACTTTTCTCTCTGACTTCTCCCCAGGAGGAAACTTGGATCTTCGTCAATCAATTGCGAGGCGAGTTCCGTTCGGGGTAGGCGGCTTCTTGCAGACAAACGTCACGTCTCGAGACAATCCCTTGCTAGCCCGATGACGTTGACGCTAATGACATGTTGAGATGAACATTCCTTGTCCAACATCTTCCTCACAAGAACCAGCCATGGCGGCGGCCGGGGGAAGACTTGGAGAGGGGAAGTGGGGAGGGCGGAGAGAGGAGCATACGACGAGAGTGTGGGGAGCAGGGAGCAGGGAGCAGGGAGCAGGGAGCAGGGAGCAGGGAGCAGGGAGAGGGAGGAGGGAGCTGGTTCAAAACCCATAGAGGTCCATGAGTTCGTCCTGGTTGGTTTCGAAGATATTCTGCATCTTACTCTCCTCCTCCCGCAAGAGTCGCACGCGATCTTGTAAGACGTTGACTCTCTTTGGCTGACCTCTGCTCCTGTCCTTGTTTCTGCTGCTTGCTCGAGCTCCTCGGATCCTTACGAGGGCAAGTAAGACAAGAGAGGGCTACGGGCGGAAGCAAGCCCAGAGCAGAGCAGAGCAGAGCAGAGCAGAGCAGAGCAGAGCAGAGCAGAGCAGAGCAGAGCAGAGAGAAGAGGAGAGGAGGCTGAGCCAAGATAAGAGGGGAATGACGAGGAGAACAGGGTGGTTGGGGGGGATCGAGAGCGGAAGGAGGATTGGGAGGTTGATGGGACAAAGAGAGTGAGGACAAGAAGTAGTAAGGGGGGGGGGAACTTCTATGCACCAGCTTCTGTTTCCCTTCCTGAGCTGCTTTGGGCCTTGGCTCACTTGCGTCTCACTGAAAATTTTCATCACGTTGAGAGCAGTGAAAAATAAAAAGGGAGAAGAGAAAGTTGATGAGGGAAGAGAGAAGAAGAAAGGGGGTAGGAAGGAAGAGGGAAGGAGGGAGAGAGAAAGATAGAAGACTCACACACAGCAGACAGGACATCTGACAGATCGCTTGTGGATGTGTTTCAGAGCAGGGGAGGATTTGTTCTTCTTGCAGAGCAAGATGAAGATCCTCATTCCTCTCCAGATGGTCTTGTCTGCAAGCGATCCACGAATGATCAAAATCGGACAAGGCTCGAAGAAACAAGTGCAGATGAGTACATGTACATGATGGTTTGATCTTCTTCAGTGCAGAGATACAGCGCTTCTTGGAGGAGAAGGGCAAGGGACCTGAAGACATCAGTTCAGTGAAGGCAGGTGGTAAGAAGATGAGAGGGAAGGGCAGGGGAGGAAAGGAGAGCGGAGGAGAGGGGAGGGGAGGGGAGGGGAGGGGAGGAAGAAACAGGAGAGGAGAGGAGATTGCGTCAATCACTTAAATTCAACATGATACCTCTGCGATGAAGATTCTCAATCATGAGGGAGTCAACGAGCGGCCTATCAATCATGCTCAACCATGTAAACCTCAATGCGGTCCTCTCCTCTCCCTCCCGTCCCCTTCTAATTCCCTGCTCTGCTCTGCTCTGCTCTGCTCTGCTCTGCTCTGCTCTGCTCTGCTCTGCTCTGCTCTGCTCTGCTCTGCTCTGCTCTGCTCTGCTCTGCTCTGCTCTGCTCTGCTCTGCTCTGCTCTGCTCTGCTCTGCTCTGCTCTGCTCTGCTCTCCACCCGTTCCCTCTCTCCCGCTCCCATCACTGCATCTCACCAGCATTCTTTGAGCATCAACCACTCAAACAGAAAGAAATCCGATCCAACAATCTGCAGCTCAACAGTTCAGCGACATCATCATCCTGCATACTTCACTCGGACCTCCTTCGGTTTGCACAGTCCAGCGCTGTACTTCAAACACAACTCAGACGAGAATTCTGGACTGTGACATTCAAGGGTTTGACAAGACTTTTCACACGTGTTCGATTCTTGCTCGGTTGCAATGATGTCGGAGAAAGTCAGATTCCATGAGATGTCTTCGTGAACGAGCAGCCTTTTCAACTTGGAAGCATGAAGAAAGGCAGAATGGAGGCAGATCTGACAGGAGTGTCGTTGAGATCTCAAAAGAGACCATGTCTGTCCTGCTGAAAGGTCCAACATCCGAATACAGCGTTTCGATTGATTTCCACGACTTTCAGGGTCATGTAAACTTTCCTCTGATCGTTGGAAGTTTGCAACTGTGGAAGGTTTTCTTGGCGCAGCGGATTTGTTTGCAATCTCTGGACTTATCAGGTAACATAGGAGGCATTCTGAAGTATTGCTTCCCTCCGTGTGATTGTGAGTGAAGTTCAAAGTTTTCCCCCTGCCCTGCTCTGTTCTCGTGTGAAGTTTGAAGATGTAATCCTGAGAGCACAGATCCCACAGCCAAGAGTAGGAGCGGGAGCAGGAGCGGGAGCAGGAGCAGGAGCAGGAGTGCAGTCAGTATTCAACAAAGCTTCATCCCTCGTCTCAACCTGTTGGTACCAAAACAAATTCTTGTCGCTCACGATTGCGTCCTCCACAACGAAGCACAGTTTTGTCTTGAGATGGTGAACGAGCCTGTCCATTGTAGTCATGGCAAGAACAACATGATTTGTAGATTCCTCACCATCTATTTCTACCGTTGGTTGAGATATACTTCACTCCATAAGACTGGCAAAGTCTCTGCCGCACACGGTGTGCTACCATGTAACAAGTTCTGTTTTCAGCTCCTGGAAGATAATCAGACCTTCATTCCCTCAACATGGCTGCATTACCTATTGATCGCAATGCTGATATGAAATAATCGTCAACAAGACAATTCGTAATCTCGGGCATCTCGTGAAATAAACAACCGAATACAAGATCGATCTTGGTAATCTTCCACATGAACAACGAGGCAAGGCAAAGGTCAGAAGAACATAACAAATCAATAATTTTGAGAGCGATGAGACGGAATTTTCTCACTCGATCCATTGCAGTGATTCCTATCTCCATCACCCACGCATTGCCTACATGCGCTTTTTTCATCCGCCCACGGATATTTCTGCAGCAAATGAGCGAGTCACCTTCCAGGATTTTGCAAACAGTTGCGTGACACGTATTATCATTGTCAACAACACCGTCATGACAATCATCATCAAAAGACAGGAAGAATGCAGACGAAAAATCAAAAGGAAGATAAAACAATCTTCAATCAGTTGGCAAGTACAGAAGTCAATCGACAACCAACAAATCAATTCGAGCAAACATGTCGAGATTATTCACCCGTTGCTCGTGAGATTCCCAGGTGCGCGTCCATGGCGGGAAAGCATGTGATAGAGCTCATCGAATCTCATACTGCAGAGCTCATTGAGGAGCAGAACGAACGTCTGGAATGTCACAACACATCAGCAGGAGAACGAACAAAGTTTACAAGTGAAAACACGCGAGCAAGCAAGTTCGAAGAGTCACACACCTTCATAGTGAAGTGATAGAACTCTATGACTCTCAGCTTTTCTTTCCTCGTCGGAAAATGCCTCCTCACATCGATAGAGACAGCCTGAAGTTCACGATTGCGAGGCGAGTGCTGAACGACAGAAGACATCAAGGCGTCAAGTTGTCTGACGACCTCAGCGTTTGACAGACAGCGAAATTTCGAATGGATCAGAGCCTTGACGTACTGCTTGCGATTCTTCAACGGTCTGCTCGATGGAGAGAACTGCAGAAACAAGCATCAAATGCTAGTATGCAACCGCGAACAACAGCAACAAGTCTCTTTCTTCTTCTCACCTTCACTGTAAGATTCTTGAGCTCATCTACCGACAAACACAAGAGCTTCGACCTCATTGGAAGCACCAGGTTTCTTAGCAGACACTTCTCCAATGCCCTCTTTGACAGCTCTGAATGGTCCGTCGACACTAACTTCGCAGCAAACTTCCTCTTGGTCGAACTTTCAATCACGAATCTGATCAGCTTCTTCCTATGAAACACAACAACAATGTTCAGATTTTCAATTATGCCATACACATACATGTATGCTGTACTTTGTCATACGGGAGAAATTTGCCGTCAAAGAGCAAGGTGGTTCAGAGTACAAGGTATGATTTCGGACGAACAATGCTCCATTCTCCATTTTGTCGTGAAATTCAGATCTTCGCATACATCAGCAAACGGATGAACAACAACTTGTACATTGCCGGGAAAGTTCTTGGCCCAACTTCTGTCGTTTCTCCCGAGTGAGCAGAACATCCTATCAGGAGGATCAAAGATTCACAGAGAATTTGTAATCATGCAGCTGGTTTTCGTCAACTCCCTCCTTCTCACCGATGCGATTTCCATCCTCTCCTTGTGGCTGAGCATGAAGGTCAGATCACACAGAGCGAGAAGAAATTTTACCTGCTCTTCTCGTTAGTAAGTTGATTCATAGCTGTCGTTACTCTTTTGCCATATTCCTGTTCATCGCATGCTGTCAGCAAACACAGCCGATGATATCCACTGAACAAACGTTCAGAACTCTTCGAATGGAACTGATCTTGGCCCTTGTCAGACAAGCGATATCAGGTTATTTTCAAACAAAAGAGAGCAAAAGCAAACCTTGTATCTTGCTGTGCCTGACCGCATCCTGTTTGTTGTCGTTGAGCCAAGAACTAAATGAGAACAACAAGGAAGATATCACCTGATGTTGCGATGAGGAGGAGGAGAGTTGAGATCCAACATCTCTTTCCCATCCTCTTCAAAATCCAGTAAAGGGCCCTGACTGACTCCTGTCATGTCCGATGGCGCGACTCCCGGAGGGTCGCAGTTCTTGAGCTATCAAGGTGAATTGTCTCGTCGTGAAGCCATGATGATTGTTCGAGGAACAAGACAAGATTTCGCATCTCTCCATCGATTCACATGACTAGCAACCTGTACGAGAAACTGGAAATTACTCGGATGGCTCGTGATATCTTAATCTATTCAATCATTCAACAGAAGCAGGGAAAAGCAAGCGATGAAATTGTGCAACAATAACAACATGTTTGAAGGAACAAAGGGGTGGGTAAGAGAAGGGAGTGAGGAGAGGAGAGGCTGGAGAATATTATGCAGAGGAGGGGAAGGCGAGTGGATGGAGGAAGGGAGAAGGGCATATCGAAGGGAACAGAGGAAGGGAAAGAGATGGAGGAGAGGAGGAGAGGAGGAGAGGGAGGGGGAAGGAGGGGCGGGGCGGTGC